ATCCTCATGTGTTCCCTTCATTGACTATTCCTCAATGCACCAACACTTGGGAAGCCGTCCACGTGCGCCCTTAATCAATGACTCCTCAGAGAGGGGCACGTGGTTTTGCCTTCCATGGACACAAGAGGGCAAATATCTCATTTCAATAGTTTATTACCACATTTTACCATTTAAACTCGTGTTTGTTTTTTTGCTTTGTTTGTTGTTTGTTTTGTACAGTAGCTATCGTTTTTTGCTTCGTTTCGTGATGCTAACCTTAACAGACAAGTTTTGAAGTTCTTACCCCTCTGGTTAATTGTAAAGGCTGAAGTTGCACCCATCTAAGCTGGGCAGCTCGAAACTTTTTGAATGACCACTGTTCGAATAGGTACATTATTCCTTCAGGTGACATTTGTTTTTTTCATTCGGGAAATTTGAATATGGGAGAAGAAAATAGAAGAAGTAAGCAGAACAAGGAACCTCAGCGTGAGAAAAAGCTCTTTTTTCCTCAACCGACAGTAACCTCTTTTTCTAACAGTTCTATAAAACTTTCAGAACATACGATTGCTCTTGATTTGGAGTGATTTCTCTTTTCTGCTCCCTTCATGCTGGATGGGAATCAGTTGAACTTTCGAATTCTGACTTTTGGAGGTTCCCGTTTTCCATCCCCTCCTTCATTTGGGCTTTAAAAAGGGGGAAAAATTCATTATAGATCCCAGCTGTGAGGAGCTAGCTCCGACTACAAATGTTCTACCTCAGCAGAGCTGGTGCCAACATTACCACAATCCAATTGGTCGGATGAATGAACGTGTGTAATATAAGTGGGACAAACGAGTTTCTTTTTCTCACCTAAGAACGATAACGTAAACAACTGGAGGGTAAAGAACAGGCTTTCGAGGCCCTTCCAGACTCTAGTTAAGAAATTTCTGGAAACAATTTCTGGAAAAGTATTTTTTTTGGATTAATTTTCTTTTTTTAAGGTTCTGACACTTGGCAGTAATTTTTTTTGGATGTTTTTTCATTTATCAGTTTCTTCACATGTATTTTTATCGTCTCCATTACTACGTGTGTATATTCCGTTACTACAGATTTCGTAGAGATAGATTCGTGTAGATTTCTATATTCTGACAAGGGAACTTTCCTTTACCTCCCTGAAAAAATAGGACTTGAGTCAAGATTTTTTGGAGCCTTCCGTTCCCTACTTCTCGATCCTCCCTCCCACTTCGATTCTGGCAATTTCGTTCATATATACAAAAGACTGGAAATGACCTATGTCGTAGAGATTCCACCTCAATAAAACCGGCAGCAGGATCACCACGGATCGGATGGTCAGATGGATTTGTGCGGGTGTTATATATATGGAACCCCGATTCGTTTAACTCATATTCATTTCTGTATTTGGAAATTCCTCTTAGTCCTGGAACTTCTAAGATTTAGCCTTGTAGTTAACTGACTGGCGCTGAAAAAAAATAATTCTCATTCTCCCAACGTTCTCTGATGTGGTATCGCTAAGTGGACGTTGAAGGGGGAAAGAGGAGGAAGGCTTGGTTAGCCTGGGTGAGTATCGATCCAAGGTTCCATAACCGGCGTGTGACAATGCACTATTTAGTACTACAAAACTAACGTCACAAAATTTACATAATAAAGAGAGTAATGGTTTGAGCCTTGCCAGACTGAATCACTATCAAGTCAAGTAGTTACTCATAGTGTTGACTTTCCTCTGTTCGGTATCTCCTATTCATTCCTATTTTGATAGTGACTCAAACCACCTATTGTACAAATCCAAACTCTTCTCTTTCCTCTCGAAATTTTCTACAAAGCTAGTCTTTCATTGACTTCTGCTATATTACTACGAAAGAACTCTCATGACGCGGAATGGTGCAGCCTGCTATGTCCGTGCTGAGGCTATAAGTTGTTTCAAACAATAAGACGGGTGGTAGCTCCCTGAGTTATAAAAAATAAGTCCACCCAATCTTTACCCGTTACCGTTCAGGGTCACTGCATTTCCAAACGCTAGTGAGTTTCCTTTAGTTGCAGCTGAATTAAAGTTAAGTTGATGCCGATTTTCGAGCTTTTTTTCTAACCTTTCTATTCGGTTCGAGGCATTTCATTAGATATGTAATTGAGTTCATGCAAAAGTTGATGCTGTTTTTTAAAATTTCATCATTTTTTGTATGCTCATTCTCTCGGGTCTCCATGGTGTTTTTCTGGTTTTCGTGCTTGTGTTTTCTATACATTCTGAGGCGGAATTTGAGGGAGTGGAGTAGAGGAGGTGATTGTTTCATGTGTCATCAGGGTTTGATCGACCTTGTCGACCTGAAGTAAGGAGATGGTCATGCTGGGCTTTAGTGGTCGGAAGTAATCTTTCAATGAAAAGGAAGAGGTGTGAGGAAGCTGCGTACAACACCGCCTCCACCGATGTGAAGCTGCCTAGGTTCCATCGTACGGCTTCTAGTATGCCCAGCATGGGCAGGACGATGAGAGGGACCAACGGCGCCACGGACTTCTACTCTATCCGCATCACTGTAAAAAGGTCCTGCGAATAAATCTGAAAATTGTGACTTTTGAAATTTGGCTTTCTCCCAATCTTTTTTTTAACACTGTTCTCTGCTCAAATTCCTTTTGTTCTACTCTTTTTTCATTTGAGAAATTCAGATCGCCTTGATATTTGATGAATTCTCCATTTCGTTGACGAACAGATTTTTTTGTCGTTCACTCATTGCGATCCTTGATAAGGTTCCAAGAGTAGGTGTGAGACTGCCCTTTGAGCGGTCTACAACGGATCCAGTTCGCGATGTTGCGTTCTTTTTTCTGTTTGTTCTTAGTGGATTGCTCATTGATGTCTTAGAAAAGCTTTTTTCAGGGTGGCCGACATAATCATTCCTTCGTTTTGGCTTTCACGTGTGTGCGATGCGAGATGTGAAGTTAGAGCATGATCGATCATCAACTGTGGACATTAATTACTCCCATCAGTCCATCGGGAATTCGGAACCTGAAGAGGTGAGCAGGTTTAAGTACATCGTCTACAATTACCTGTATAAACATATTGAACTTCCTAATCTTACATGCAGATTCTTTATTTTTCCAATTTTTCGTGCATCACTTTTTGGAGCCTAATGGGCTGATTTAGAATTAGTGGATTCCTTCGAGGAAAAGTGTCAAATCAGCAGTTCTTTCCAGAGAGGAAAGGGGAATTCTTTTCAAAGAAGGAGCAGAAACGAATACCCTTTTTTCGTTTTTCTTTCGTTTTTCTGTGATTTAATGGAGTAGATAAAGTGACAGTCACTTCCGGTTACTATTTTAAAAAGATGGGAGAAAAGGACTAGTAAGAGAGAGTAGGAAAGGGAAGAATTCGACTCAGATCGGACCATTTAGTGAGTTCTTTCTCCTGAGATACCAACTCGCGCCTGAGGTTTATGCTGGGAAACATAATGTCTAAAACTTGCTAAGAATGTTATGGAAAATATGGAATTCGGATCACTTTTAAAAGTCGTTGACTTTCTTCAAGGTGTAACTGAAGGCTAGGAGCAACCTCGGCCAAATGCTAGAATACAGGAGAGTGAGAAGGCTTTTCTTATTCTTTACCAAGTCGGCCGCGGTTTTTCGGGTTGCTCACCTTTTCAACTTTGAATAAAATAACATCACAGTGGGGATTACCAGGAGATTTAACGGTAATTACTTTCGTTCTATAAAATTTGCTGCGCATGTGTGAGTATTCAAAAACATGCTTATTTATGAAAATAACGCATTTAAAGCATCCCAAATTTTATGCGACGTTGTTTTCTGTGCTATTTCCTCTTTTTTTAACTCGTACTTTTACTCTGCATGCACTCATTTATGGAGTGTAGTATTGAGATCCTTCAGTTGATTTCACGGAGCAAGGTATTCGACGTTTAGGTTTGGTAGGTATGGTTTACAAACTGTGGTACCAAAGTAATGTATTTGGTTCTTTTAATCTTTATAATACGGCTCGCTCTCGAACCAGAGGCGGTCAGACCAAAATAAATCCTCCTTGGCCCAGAACCACTATTAGAGCCGGAACTTACATTTAGAGCGACCAGCCTTCACAAAAGGGTAACAAAAAAATATGAACGCTCCGGATTCTCTCTAAGTTCAAACGCACTGTAGCAGTAGTTTTATCTAAGTATGAGCTTTCATAGTTCATTGTGGTTCACCATTTCTACGCCTTTGTTTTGAAAACACATTTCACGATAGTTTTGAAGTTCATCGCTAAAGAAAAAAGCTAGAAAATTCGCTAGTTTTGAAAAAATAAGGCTTTTCAAAGGTAAGGGCAATAAAGGTTGGACGACATTACCATGACGGGAATAACAGGGAAGGGGTATTCGGGCGAGATTGAAGTCGTTGCAGTTGCACAAAAAGCTGACTACATTGAGCTAGAGCTGTACAGAACTGCCTTTCTATTATGTCGCTATGGGCCACGACAAGTTGCTTGAGCCTCCTATATGGGTTCCCATGTGAATGGTCCAACCTCTGAAATGACGGTGAAACTCGTTCGAGAATACACATGATACAATGTTTGAGCCTTTATAACGCCCTAACTAGGCCATTTTCCGACATGATAGTGCCAGATATGGTATACAAGGGGCCTCGAATTCATCCTATGGCAGTTTCAGAAACCATTTTTATCGTGAAGTGTGCCTTTGATATAAACTTGAAGTCGCACTATTTGCCTTATTCTGCGTGTTCCTCTTTGTCTCTTCTCTTAGCGTAATAAACATAACATAACATATGTCTAGACGATTTTGAAGATCAAGAAGCGAGTTTGAAGAAGCTACTGGTTAGTTACAGTAGGAGGTATCTAATGTTTCTAACTCTACCCAGAACCTTGTGACCGGGCTCAAACTCTGTAGGATCCTTTTTTATGGAAAATTAACCCTGAAATGATTGTGGGAAACGTTTATCAAGTTACAGCTCATCCTTTGTTGCCGTAACATGTCGGATTTTTTTGTATGAAGAACTTTGTTCCACAGCTTTGTGGTTATGATTCATTATGTGCAGGTAATTGCCGAAGTTGGTCACGAGACTTCAAAGTGCGGGTGGGTAGGTGACATAATTAATGAATTTCACTACAGTACGAGCTGTACTTTATTTGCACTGCCTACGTGTGTTATAGAATTTCGCCAAGACCAATTGGACATTCCATCACTTTTTGGGTCGCTTGATTTGCGGATGACGTTCTACGGCGTTTGAATACGTTGATCTCAACTTTGCTTCACTGAGATCTTCAAACTCGTCCAACTTCAGATCTAGTTACGTCAAGTGACTTTAGTAGGAATTAGATGTCTCTGTCTTTCCTAAGCAAGTTGTCAAAACTACCCCTTGGTCCTTTTGTTTTTTAACGATCAACATTACTTAGGTATTTTCATGATTGATCTCGGATTTCACAAAGTGAATTACCATAAATACCTGATAAAACCTATATTAGAGCATGGTCTCGTTGTTTAGGCGTCATTGAATCCTCCTATGTTAGAAAAGTGTCGATACTGCGGCTGTTCTGATATCAAGTTACTAAAACAATGCCTCTTCTGTGGAGCCGTAGCATACTGTAGCGATGAACATCAGGTGAGTAATAAGTTTGTATAGTCATTTCAATGTTATTTGGAAATTACTTTTCTGGGCCGAGCCTGTGCAAATACGGTAAATTGATAGGTGAGACTTTAAGTTCAATTGAGCGGGGAGTCTTGCCTAGTTGGCTCTTACTGCTGGCTGTAATTATAGCAAAGCTCCAGTGAACTGGATTGAGTGATGGAAGAGCATGGGGTAGTAGTGGTAAGGGGCGTCGCCACCACATTCAGGGATCGGGATCAAATCCCATATCGGCCACCCAGCATCACGTACCTCAGAGGTATGTTGTTGGATTCAACTGAATAGGTTGTGACCCAGACATAAACCTTGGCGGAACTTTGAAAGTCATTGTTTAGACCAAAAAGGTATCGAAACACTGTGAAGNCAAATACGGTAAATTGATAGGTGAGACTTTAAGTTCAATTGAGCGGGGAGTCTTGCCTAATTTGCTCTTACTGCTGGCTGTAATTATAGCAAAGCTCCAGGAAACTAAATTGAGTGATCGTAGATATGGGGTAGTAGTGGTAAGGGGCGTCGCTACCACATTCAGGGTTCAGGATCAAATCTCATATCGGCCATCCAGCATCACATACCTCAGAGGTATGTTGTTGTATTCACCTGAATGGGCTGTGACCCAGACATAAACGTTGGCGGAACTTTGAAAGTCATTGCTTAGACCGAAAAGGTATCGAAACACTGTGAAGCTGAAACTAATTGATATTGTCAACCATTGTATCTGTTGAAGTACCAGTGAAAGTAAGCTGTGGAAGCGAAACTTGGTAAGGGACATGGAACGAAGTCACCTGGGTCTACTTCTCCTTGTCCACAGATTCGTCACCCTCGACTTCCAGGTGGAAGGCTCTTGAGCTCCGCACGTAGCATTGGACCTACTTTTTCACAAGCACCTCAACAAATCACTAAATCTTGGTATTTATTAGTAAAGAACCGTTTCCATATTGTGATGTGGGTATTCTAGCAATTCGACTGGAAGCGGCATAAGCCTATGTGCAAGCAGACGCAAGCAGAAAGTCAACGTCGTCAGGCGACTGCTGGACCGTCATCATGCACCACTTGCACCCAGACGGAGACCAGTTCAGCTTCGAGTCCTGACCCGAGTCCACCGCCGATGTCCTTCTTAGGTGGTTCAGGTGCGTGGAACAGATGACTAACAACATAATAAAGATAGTGAAATGTATGTTCCGAAGTAACCGCATCAGGCAGTAAGTCTAATGCAGTAGATGCAGCTCCAACGGGCAGATAAATTAATTTAATTCCTCAAAACGAAAGAAAAAAGTTGAAAGTAGTAAAATGAATGTACCATACAAATATTATTGGGAAGGCCGTTCACTTGTTCTGAAGTTGAGCATTCGAACGTCTAGAAAGCACCGAATTGGCAGTGTTGGCCACCATATCGAAATTCAGAAGTCCTATTTCAATTTTCCGAGGACAGTTTTCAAAAAAAAGCGCATTGTCGTAATCCTTCCAGGAATGCGCCACGTTTACTACTTCTACCCACAATCATAGTAGCATTTGAATGCTTGTTTCACTTAACCATTTATTTGGATGGGAGACTCATTGTTCGAGTGAATTTTTACGTGTTCCTTGATGCTCCCTAGCTTTTTTGTTGACTTTTTTTGTCTCAAGGAGAGTTTCTAAAACTTCCATTGCCTTAGAGGTGTGCACTGTATTAAATTTGCTTCCGAAAAATTTCTTCTAAATTTTCATGACATTCCCTTGCATCCTATAGATCCTACTGGAAAAGTAAGAAAAAGGAAAAAGGAAAGGGCGGGGAAAAGGAATGGAGAAAATGTGCAGGATGCAGTAAAGGATAGAAGATAACAGAAAACAGCCTGAGAAAAGCGTCGAAAAACCGGATAGGTTTCGGGTTGAGCGTGATGAAGGAATGCGTAGGTATAAGTTCGAGTCCTGTCCGTGGCACAAACGCTTCGCGCTTATCGAAACCGCTGTCCAATATACCCCATCTCGGTCAATTTTGAGAAAAGAAAGTGTAAGTAAAGTCTAATGTTCTAAAGTCTTGCGTTGTTCATCAATCCCGTGTGAGGGATGCGCCCCGCATTCGGCTTTCACTCAAAATCGTAGTGGCCTATTGAATGCGTATCTGGCTTAAACAGTCACTTGCAGCCGAGTCAAAATTCAGTGCTTTTATCCTCCCAGGCAAATCTGATACCAATTAACTAACCTCCAAGGGCCATCCCTAACCGTGACCACTCGTGTCCGCTCTCAAAATGTGAATATTATATAAATAGGAATTCTTGTAAACCTGGAAGAGAAAATGGAGAGTATATGAATTACTCAGCAAAAGGAAGGTTATGTCGGATGTCCACAGAACATAATGAAATTGAAATAAAAAAATGGAAATATAGAAAAAACAAGCGAAATGAGTAGTGTGTGAGTGAATCAAAATGAAAGAGCAAAAGCAAGCTCAAATAATTGTTGAATTTTAACCCTTAATTATTTTTTGATTTTTTTGACTCATTGATCGTTTCAGTGCCATCGTCGCTGGTTGGTCAGCTGTCCTTAGAGTCCCGTGTGGCGTTGTCATTGCTGAGCGATGCTGTTGCACCGGTCAGTAGTGCTACCAATCACTCGAATCTTGCGAACGGGACCCTTTTCGATGCCAGTGCTTCTGTTGCATGTGAGTGTTTTAGATTTCTTATTTTTATTTATTTTTTTTTTGAAGGTCTCTGGGGACCTCACTGACTGTTTAAACTGATTACTTCTTCTGAATGTTGATAAAGATGGGGAAGTCGATAGAAAATGACATTTTCATCAATAGCTTATCCTCGTTTCCTGACAATCATTTAGTTGAATAAAAAATAAAGTGCTCTGACGCATGGAGCAAGTTCATCTTGAGGGATTTCAGAAACCATTTTTATCGTAAACTGATTTTGCAAATTATGGGAGTTACCAGTTTAGGAGCGGACTTAAGGGGAACTGTGAGAATTTTTTATTTGGAAAATTACAGCTACACCTTTGCAGCTTCACCATCATCCCCTCGACCGTCCACATCAGCCGCATCATCTGAAGAACGGATTGTGCCAACAGATGATCCCGATATACAGGTATGAACTATTCGAGTGTTCAGTACTGTAGTTACTATGGCTTAATTTGATGGTCATTCAAACCGCGGTAAATTGTATGCATAACTCTTTTCTACTCGTTCTCTGCCAAAGTTATCATTCTATTATCAGATTTAGCAATCCAAAAGTTTTCCTAGAATGAGTCCTCTTGTAGATATGAGCGGTTCCAACCTATTTCTCCTTTCTCTACTATACATAGGTGTGGTTGAATAAGTCGATCTACTTGTATGGGTCCGCCTTCTTATGGCGAAATTTATAAATTCTCTTTTTTGATCAGACTGAGAAGCTATTGAGTTGGTGAGGTAAAAATTACGAACTGGTGGCTCCGACTGGTGATGATTTCTTGAACTTCGAACCGACAAAATCGATAGATTTCCGGAACCTCAATCCAATTATTTCTATAACGGCGTGGAAACAG